ATCAATTTAATCATAATTATCATTCATCAATTAACTTGCATGACATTAATCATTGTAATTGCTATTTGTAAGTAATCGATTAAATCGCTTGGCTGTAATTACCACATACTTTTTAAATGGAACTATTTTTAGAAACTTGAAAAATGTTTAAGATGCAACATCATAAAGTGTGGGTACAGTAAAAGGAAATTATTTATATGCATGTATGTACTTAAAATCAGATGGTAAACTGGAGTTACTGAAAGCATTTAATAGCATTGAGGTCTGTCATAAGCTTACCATGTAGTGCAGGTGGGTAATTTAGCTTGTTTTATTGGAAGTGTAACTTTTCTAAATGACTTAAGAATGTGCTTATTTTTAATCACCTTGACTGAAATTCAAGAGTATCATATATGCCTACATTTTTCTCTCTTCTGCTGATATTCAAATTTGGAGCATTTTTAATCTTATTTGCTAATGTTTTACAGTACCTGTATTCAGTCAGCTACTTACACTCATTCTTAAAATAGCAAAATCAATAAAATGGGATCTTTTTTCACTTGCAACTTGTTTGTGGTCAAGTACATTCTTTTAATTAAAATAATGTAACTGTATGTATACACAGATGGTTTGGCTTACCATCTACTAGTTCAGGTGGCACTCAAGGCTGAGATGAATACTATATGTAGTTGAACACCAAGTAATATATTGATGTTAAGAAATCTGCCCTGATCTTGATTTTAACATGGGGTACTTGGCTCTAACCAATATTCCGAGATTGATCTCTTTCCAACTGTAAGCTACTTGGGCTCAAGTTTGAAGGAGGTAACTGCCCATTCTGACTGTTACAATGTGTAAGTTTTATTAGTTTTTTTAAAATAAATTATAACATAAGCATTTGGCATTTATACACAAAGCTACCTATATTGACAGTAATTTCAATTTCCTTAAAATATATATCTTTACCAGTTGCGTTCAAAAACATTATTTTTGTACATCAAGTACATTTTAATTATATATGAATAGCAGTGGAATATGAAATAACTCAAGCATATAAGCTAAACATGAAAATATATTGCTCATTTGAAAGAGAGCAAACAGTTTGTCAAAAAATACTAGACATAAGCCAAATTAAGGTCCCTTCTGTTTCATGACAATTTTCTTAATAAGTCCCTTTTTTATGTGTACATGTATCTTTAAATATTAACCCGATGACCACCGGCTACTTACTTTCTGTGTAGCCAATGCAAGTCTTGCTATATTTCATTCCAGCAATAAAACTAGTGGATTAAATTGTTTGAACTGCACGTAGTTTAAGAAACATAAAGCCTGTTACTTTTGTTAAATTTAGTTTTTTTTGCATTGTGATCTTTAATGTCTTGTAAAATTACATTAGGAAATGGTATTTATAAGAAATGATTATGATATCTATATTTGTTTTAGATTTGATCTTATTTTTATGTTTTAGTACATTATTTTAAAATCTCTAAAATCTTTTATCATCTATAAAATGCAAATTTTGTCTATTTTTGATATTTTTAATAGTCACGTACTCTCCTTATGTGTTGAATTAATATACAAGACCTGAAAATAATATTTCGAAGGAAACCTAAACAATAAACGAGTATTTATTTATTTTTAACTAGAATTTCATGTTTACTTAAATTCTTAAAAGAAATTTAAATTTTGTTTCATAAATGTAATTTTATTTCAAGTTTATGTTTCATTGCAGCCATACTTTTGTTTATTCTGCCAAAAAACTGTGAGGTTAGCAGCGTGAACTTCATACATTTGCCTTAAACTATCGTGCCAGTCACTCTTGTTCAGTCCAGTGCAGGCATATTTGAACATTATTGTAAATATGATAGTAAGAAAGCTTTTCGGTACTTGAATATCTTTTCTTTGAACTTTCAAAGAAGTTTATTTCAACATATGTCATTGTATGTTGTTTCACTATACAGACAACACTAATTGCCACTACTA